ATATATATATATATATATATATATATATATATATATATATTTAAATAGCAGTGGCATTTTGAGACTGAGAACAAGAGTGGACACCATTGTGGTGTCCAGCAAGGAGACCAGTGTGTCTTCTCAGTGTCTTTGGCAGAGCGGGGAATAAATACCCTTAGATACCAAGATAGCACCCATTGGCTGCAGTGTTTATTCTTCAAGCTGCCCCAGTGTCCAGTTGTGATTCAGGCTTTGGGTCAGTGGCATGAGCCCTGCTAAAGGACTCTACTGAGGACCAGGCCTATTTCCTGATGGTAGATAAGTGACTGACTCTGTAGAACTGAACCTTGAGCAGTAAAAGAATGGCTTGCCTGGTACTGTGGGTTCCAGCACATAGATTGAGAAAATTTACAAAGCAAAAATGCTGCGCATTGTAAAATCTGACTTCACGTAGTAATCACTCACACAGGGTCCTGATGACTGAAGAAGTACTGGAGCCAGACTGTCCTCCACCTTGTCAATGCTAACGAAGGAGGAAGGCAGGATTGCAGACACCAACATTACTGTGCACTAGCTGAAGAGACAGTGTTAATGTAACTCAGGAAGAGTAACATTAGGGAGGGCCCTGATGGCCCTGGGGAAGGAGTGCCCTCATCACCACTGGGCACAAAGCTCCCCTAAGTGTCTATTCTGTAGAACTGAGGGAGTTTTCCTGTTCTCAAATCTTGCAAAACCTCTGGGCACAGACAGAGTAAGGACTTTAATGTGAGAATCATTTCAACACTTGGCTATTGTCCTAGTTTTTGGCATGCCACCCTGCCCAGTCTGTTCCAATGCCATAGGTTCTCCTGCCTCTCAGAGACCAGCCTCCTCTACCTTTGGAAAGAATGGGTGGCATTGAATCCTCTGCTCTTGCCCCAGCTGTCAGTCAACCTGATGCAGACTCTGTTCTGTCCTTAGGACAGATGTATCAACATTCTTAAGGGTGACTCGGGGATGTTCTTTTCGTCTTTCATCTGAGGCCATCCAAATGGAGTACACTTCAATTGTTACACAGTACTGATTGCCATCTTTTAACAAATGTAAACACCACAGACACTGAGCTACAGAGAGCTTCTGTCACCTCTCAGATTTCTCAGCCCCTTTGTCACTAATCCCTCATAATTCCCATCTCTAGCAGTCACTGATCTCCTTTAAGCCATGTGATTGTTAAGTTTTTGTCAGCTTGACACAAGCTAAGGTTGTGTAAAAGAAACTTCAATTAAGAAAATCCTTCATCAGATTGGTCTGTAGGCAAGTTTGTAGGATATTTTCTTGATTAATGACTGATGAGGAAGGGCCCACATCTGGGAGGGTGGTCCTGAGTTGTATAAGAATGCAGGCTGAGCAAGCCATACAGAAGTAGAAAGCAATCTTCCTCCATGCCCTCTGCTTTATTTAGTTCCTGCCTCTAGTTCCTGCCCTGATGTCCCTCCGAGATGGAGTGTGACCTGAAATCATAAAATGAAGTTGCTTTTGGTCATGGTGTTTGTCACAGCAACAAACCCTATGTAGGATAAGTCTTTAGAGAGTTTTCCTTTGTAGAATCTCAAATCAGTGGCAGAAGCTAGTGATTACAGTCCCTCTGGCCGGTCTCTGCCATGTGGTACCATGTGTCAGACCCTACTCCTTGTTATTGTTGTTCTTTTGTGGACCAGGTACCAATTGTTTATTCATTCCCTTGTTGGTGGGTATTTGTTTTGTTTCCAGTTCTTGGTGACTATTAAAAAGCTCCCATGAACCTCATAATGCATGCATTTCCATTTTATATGGTGGATCCCTCCCTCCAGCAAGACCCATCAGAATATCTGGTATCCCCAATGTTCACTGATTGTTCTCCTTCTGAGCAGGGGACCTCCTTACTTAAATATAGCAACTGTTTTTGAAGCACATTTTGTACTTTTTATAAGTCATCCTGTCAAGCTGGGCGTTGGTGGCACACACCTTTAATCCCAGCACTTGGGAAGCAGAGGCAGGAGGATCTCTGTTAGTTCAAGGCCAGCCTAGTCTATGGAGCGAGTGCCAGGATAGGCTCCAAAGCTACACAGAGAAACCCTGTCTTGAAAAACAAAAACAAACAAACAAGTCATCTTGTCAAATTAGTGATTATTTAATTTTATTTATTGTAACAGTCTGTGGCCATACTGAAGGTCCAGTACTGGTATCTTTGCTGCTCTTGGAATTCTTTCTTCTACCTTAAGTCATAGATTTGCATTTCTTCACACAGGTGAAACTGCCAGCCATTAACTCCAAGAATCCTAGCAAAGTGGGGACCCCAGTTAGCCACAAAGACTCTGAACGAAGCAAGCTGTCATTGCCTCCTATGTAAGTGTCCAACTTATGAGAATGAATGCTGTTTGTATGAGGTTTGGGTTGATTATCTGTCCTTCAGTCAGATGGCAATTGTGAGTTGATGGCACCCACTGACCTGCCCCAACCCTGTCCAGAGACAGGTTTGCCAATGGTAGCACCTGCCTGCCTTGCCCACAGAGCCCTTCTCAACATGGCCTGAGAACCTAGTTGCACTTTTGCTCCTTCCTTAACACCAATTTTACCTCTTTGATCACATGCCTGGTCTCCTTGCAGCCTGCTTGTGGCATAGATTTGTGGTTTGTGGCCACTTGTCCCTGCTCATGCACTCGGTACTGAAACTTGCTGTCATCAAAGCCTGAGCACAGGATCTCTATGATGAGTGCAAGCACTCTGTCTCTGCATTCAACTGGGGATTTCCTAGATATGCTGATACCAGTTGGTCTTCCAGTCGAACAGAGTAATCCTGGCAGCCTCTGTATTACCTTATCTGCCAGAAGTCTAGTTTAAGAGAAAGCAAATATGAATTTCTGGCAGAGTCTTCAAACAGCTTGTCATCGGTGAGGAAAACAATCACATTCATGACATTGTGACAGATGGGGAGGGACTTGCTGGGGAAATTCTTAATAAGGTGACTCACAAGTCTGAAACTTGTGGCTTGGGAGGTGACAAGTGTGTGCTTGTCACCTGCCTGACTGGAAGGCTCACACTACTGCCCTACAACTTTTCAGTGTCAAGTATGATAGGATCTGTGAGCTGAAGCAGGTGACAGATGACAGGAGACAGAGTTGTGCAGTGAGTGGACAATAAGGAAGATACTAAGACAGGAACATCTATCCTAAGCAACCCTTTGATAGTGTGTGGGGCGAGGGGTATTTTCTAGGACCTCCTTGTGTGATAACCAGTGTTCTTACCAGATTTTAATTGGGTAATAAGAAAAAAGGGGTTGGAAAACTGGCCTAAACTAAGTATGGTATCACTCATGTATAGGAATGCACTGAGACCATTTTATGTTTGAAATAGGGAATGATACTGACAGATGAGAGAGAGAGAGAGAGAGAGAGAGAGAGAGAGAGAGAGATGGGGAAGGGGAAGGGAGAGGGAGCAGAGAGAGCTCAGTACCAGTGTTTCGTCACAAGTTAAGTTCCTGAACACTGCCTCTGGTTTTCCTTTTTAAGTTAATCTTTGCACTGGAGTTTAATATTTACATGTCTCTCTTTAAGGCCTGGTCAAAAAAGCAGTTCACCAACAAACTTTTCCAAACTTATCAGCAACGGCTATAAGGATGAATGGTTCCAGCAGCAGCAAGCAGATGCTGACAAGAGAACTCCAAAGACATCCAGGGCATCCTTGTCCAACCAGTCCACAAAGGACTCAGAAAATACCCAGGACACAGAGACAGCCCAAGATCCAGAGGCCCCTGAAGTCTCTGAGAAAACTCCAGATGAGGGTCACCATGACATGCACGTGATTGGTGATGAGGATGGTAGGTGATTTTCTTATCTCCTGGTGTATATCCAAATGTTATGTGCAGATAGAAGCCATGCTAAAACTCCACGGAGGTCTTGTGGTATCTGGTAAGCATTAGAATAGTGTGAACTTGGGCTTTTTTCTTTTCATTCAGATGAGAGCACAAAAAATTATGACTTATGGGGCTTCATATTTTTATTATATTTATCAAAAATCTTGATACTCCATTTGGTATAATGAAGTGTAAAATACTATATTGGTTTTAGTCTTCAGAATGTGAAGAGTCCTCACACGACACTGGCATTCTCCCACATGAGCTTGTCCTCTGACACCCCTTCACAGGCTGCCTTCTATCCTCTGAAAGGAAACCCAAGTTCAAGCATTCCATTTCTTTGTCATCAGCATTTCTTAAACTGAGTAATTTAGGATGCCCAGGATACATTACTGGTTTTTTTTCTTTAGCATTCATATAGTTTGCTTGTTTGCATCTGTGGAAACTTCGGATTGTGTTCAATTTCTGTCACTGATGATACCGAGAGAACTTGCTTCTTGAAAAAAGTCATTCTTCTTTAGAAAAGCTTCACCACTCTGAGTAATGGCAGAGATGGCAGGAGTGGGTAGAGTGGGTGCATGCATTTGAAATGCTGCGGTATTGGTTTGTGAGCAGAGCTCTGCATGGCTTTGCATGTCTGACTCCTCCCTGTGTTGATGGAATATGACTTGCCAATTGGTCTCCATCCTTACAGAGATGGCCAGCTGACTGGAAAAAAGGGGCCCTCTTGAACATCACAGAGTTGATAAGAGTTTTATGGCTAATTGCTACTTGTAGTAGGATAGACTTTTTACTCATTCTTTGAATGTGGATTATCTTTTTTAGATTTATTTTATTCCTTTTAGGTGTGTGTGTGTGTGTGTGTGTGTGTGTGTGTGTGTGTGTGTGTGTGTTACTTGTTTAATCTATCCATCCCTTCATGGGTCTTTAGCTGATATTCTCTCTTGGCTACCGTGAACTGTGCTGCAGTGAACATAGGGCTGTGGATTGACTCTTGACCTCCTGGTTCCAGTTCTTTGGGGATGCATACCCAAGAGTGGGAAGAGCTTCCTGGTGATTTCTGTATGTTGTGCTAATGCACATTCTTGCTAACAGTGGGCTGTGGTTCTGTTTTCTCTCTTCCTTGCCAGCAGTAATTTTCATCTTTTGATTTATTTATCTTATGTACATAGTGTTTTATCTGCATGTATGTTTGTGTGCCACATGCATGCTGGGTGCCAGTGCTTGAATCTCTGGGAACTGGAGTTACAGGTGGTTGTTAGCCACCATGTAGGTTCTGGGAATCAAAAATGAGTCATCTGTAAGAATAGTCAGTGACTTTCACCGCTGAGAAATCTCTCCAGCTCCATCTTTTTATCTTTTAAAGAATAACCAACTGGGTGGTGGCCCATGCCTTTAACCCTAGTACTTGGAAGGCAGAAGAGGTAGATCTCTGAGTTTGAGGCCAGCCTGATACACAGATTTCCAGGGCATCCAGAGCTACTCAGAGAATCCCTATCATGAAAAACCAAAACAACAACAAGAACAACAAACCACTGTGACATGTGTAAGGTGTCATTTAATTGTGGTTTTAATTTGTGTTTTTCTGGTGATTATCAGTGTTTAACAATTTTTCATATACACATTGGCCATTACACACATTTTTTTTTGAAAAATGACTATTCAAGTCTACTGCTTAGCTTTTGTTGTTGCTATTCATATTTGAGACAGGATCTCACTATGTAACTTGAAGTGGCCTACAACTCTCTCTGTTCCCAAAGCTGGCCTCCTGCTTCAGGCTTTAAAGGCTAGGATCATAGGCATGAACTACCAGGCCCAGTTCCTTTGCCCATTTTTAAAACCAACAGTTTCCTTTCTTGTTAAGTTACTTGAGCTCCTTATATATTTTGGATACTAATCCCTTATATATTTTGGATACTAATCCCTTGCTGTTTCCAAGTGTTCTCTCCTATTCTGTGGGTTGTGCTTTTATTTTCCTGGTTTTTTCTTTTGCTGTACATAAAATTGTTAGGTTGATACAATCTCATTTGTCTGTTTTACTTGTGTTGTTTGTGTTTTGGCAATATAAACATCTATATATAAATATGTAACATAATATTTATATATTTATATATAACAGAATTTTAATGTGTTATATATATATACATATATATACATATATATGTATATATATAAACATATAGATGTTATTTATAAATATCTCTGGGGCTGGAGAGATGACCTAGATCACTGGTTCTCAATTTTCTTAATGCTGCAACCCTTTCATACAGTTCCTCATGTTGTGGTGGTCTCCAGCCATAAGATTATTTTCGTTGCTACTTCATAACTGTAATTTTGCTACTGTTATGAACGTAATGTAAATATCTAATATGTGACCCCTGTGTGGATCGTGACCCACAGGTTGAGAACCACTGACTTAGAGGTTAAGTGCTTACTTCATGGCCAAGGAGCCAAGTCCAGCCCAGCACCCATATCGGTATCTAGCAGGGGGTTGCCTATGACTCCAGTTCTAAGGGAGCCAACTGACCTCCCCAGACACCTGCACTCACATAGTGCAGCTCATGCAGCCACACACACACATACGCACAAATAAAAACAATAATGATACATAAAGTATATCTTTTAAAAAGGAAAGAAGTCGATCCCAGCACCAGCACTGAAGATTTCCCCTGTAGTTTTCCAGTAGATTTGCAGTGATGGGTCCTTTGTTTAAGCTTCTAATCCATACTTGGGTATGCTGTCTGATCTGAGAGTTGAATTTCATATTTTGCTTATGGGTATTCATTTTTCAATAACACTTAAGAGAAAAATCTGTCCTTTCCTACTATACATTCATTCTACCTTTGCTAAAAAACAAGCTTAAGTCTATAGATTTATCTAGGGGCACCAGCCTATCCCATTGTTCCATGAGTCTGATTTTAGGTCATGTTATAAGCTGATTATGTCATAAACACAGATGAATATGTTTGTGTCTTTCTACCATGTCAGAACTAATTGAGTAACAACACATTCACCATTAACGATCACACACACAAATAACAGTAAGTTTGTTTGGCTGCAGCTTGATAGCTGCCAGAGGCAAACACAAATTCTTTCATTCCAGGCTTAATTAACTCTCCAATCTCACCTTACACATGACACAATCATTGTATCTCCATGTATTCATATATGCAAGCCATAGAGCAGCTACAGAGGGTATAAGAGACCACAACAGAGTTCAAGGAGCTCCTAAAAGGCAACTGGAGATAAGCCAAGAGCTGACAGGGATACAAAGGAATCAGGCAGTGAACCATGATGCAGGTCTGCTGGAAACCATGGTACATAGTCAAGCCTCAGGGTCAGAGTTGAGCCCAGCCTCAAGGGCTACTCAAGCTACAGAAATAAGATGCGGGACTGTGGAGGGTACCGAGGCAAAAGTGAGGGCGGGTCCAGATGGACAAGTAGTAGATGAACAGACAGCAGGTCTAGATGAGTAGATGGATGCATGGATGGCAAACCAGGTAGACCACATGAGTGGTGGTGGGGCACGGGGTGGGGTGGGGGAACAGTGCTGAAGCCCTGGAGACAGTGGGAAGTTCTTTACTTGTTGGTCTTTTGATGTATACACTGAGTGGTCTGATGACAAGTTGGAGGTAGCAGAAGCCACTGTGGTGTTATGTGTCCCTCATTTTGGAGGTCTAAGTGACAATGTTACCTTAACCTCAGTCTGGTGTGTTCAGTAAATTCTTGGGCCTGGTTTTCTTGATAGGATTTTACTATGCCTCTGTGTTTATAGGTTCACAATGTACATTGGTAAATTTATATGGTAACTCCCCTTTTACTGCTAGTAATAAGTTATTGTTCTGTATCTCTGTGGGTGGTACCCGACAGATGCTGGTGTTTAAATGTGGGACAGGATGCAGAGTCATCCCTCCTCTGTGTACTCCTGCAAAATGTAGTCAGCTGCTGCTTTTCAAAACGAGTCCTTCCAGACAAGCTGCAACCTGAGAAACCAGGGTATTCTCCAGCGCAGAGAGTAACTCGGAGCAGTGCCAGCTTGACCGCAGCATGCCGCTTCCAGGCTGCTTTGTGCTCTGCAGTAAGGTCATGTGATGCCTCCAGATTTATTCTGTGTGTCAGGATTGCTTTGGCAATTTAGCATTTCGTAGTTCCATATGAGTTTTAGAATTTTTCTCTATTCCTGTGAAAAAAGTGATTGAAATTTTGGTAGGGATAGCATGGAGTCTGTAGATTATCTCATGGAGTATGAACATTGCAGCAAAAGCAATTCTTCCATGAACATGCAATATTTCCCCATCTGTTTATGTCCTCTTGGATCTCTTCCATCATCTTTCATCTTACTTCAAAGTGTATAGTGTACATGTCATTTACCTGTTTGGTTCAATTTACTCTCAGGTATTTTTATGACATGTATATATATATATATATATATATATATATAGTGTGTGTGTGTGTGTGTGTGTGTACATACTCTTTATTTTAATAATTTGTAGTGTGTTCTTTGAGGTGTGGCAACAAGAGACAGTTTACTTCCTTCTGCATACAGGTGATTTTTTTTTTCCCGTGTCTAATGCTCTGGTTATGCTATCCATTGATAGACTGAACAGAAACAGTGTTAGTGGCCCCCTCATCTCATCCCTAATCTTAGAAGAGAAGTTTCAACTTTCCAACATTTAGTATGATGTTGACTGTGAACTTGTATACAGCATGCATTGTGTTGAGGTAGATTCCTTTAGTGCCTAGCATGTTTAAACTTGGTTTATTTTTCAAAACCACGAAGATGTGATGTTGAATTTTTAAAATGTTTTGGCTGTGCCTATTTAGATGATCATTTAATTTCTGTCCTTTGTTCCGTTAACGTAGGTGTGTGTGTGTGTGTGTGTGTGTGTGTGTGTGTCTGTGTGTGTGTGTGTTAAATTGCCCCTGCATACCAGGGATAAATCTCATTTAATAATGATACACGATCCCTTTAATGTGTGGTTAATTTTGTTTTGCTGGCATTTTGGTAAACATTTCTACATTTGTGTTTACCAAGGATGCTAGCCTATAATTTTCTTTTCTTTCAGTATCCTTGTCTGGTTGGGCATGAAAGTAGTGTTGGCTTCATAAAATGAAAAACAGAAGGGTCTCTACCTTTTACTCTTTGGAGAAGTTTGAAAATGGTTGACAGTATTTGTTTTTTGAATGTCTGATAGACTCCAGCAGTGAATCCGTCAGAGTCCAGACCTTTCTATCATAGGGTCTTTTTTATCACAGATACAGGCATTCAGCCTCCTTACTCGTTTTAGATCTGAGCACATTTGTACTCATGCCTCAGTCTCTGTAGGATTTATGTCTATAGGAACACATACTTTTGACCAGGTTACCCACGTTGTTATTGTGGTTCTCCCTTACTATCCTTTGCATTCTGTGGTAGCACTGCACCATGCCTTTGCTTCCTGATTTGCATTTTCTACTTCAGTTACAGATATTTCATCCCTTTCCCTTTAAAAAATTAAAAACAAAATCTTCACTTTGTTAGTCCTTTTCCCTGTGTCATTAGACTTTATTCTTGTCTGATGTTAATTCTCGTCTTCCTACCTTTGGTTTTAGAACATTCATTTTTAGTACCCCAACTTAAATATGTGCATGCAATATGCACACAGGCTCAACCATATAAGCTATGTTTTAGTACTCTGCATTTTATCCTCAGGTAAATAAAAATCACCTCACCATCAGCATATATCTACGTGTACACACGTAAGATCTGAGGGATTAGCACTTGACACTGGTGTACACTTATTAACTTTCTGGAAGTAAGTCATTGCATGTGTTATCTACGCCAGTGTTACAATGGAATCCATATTTCCACCGGCAGCAGGTCCTCCTTAATTGCGTAAAAACATTTTACCATCAAAATGAGTGAAAAGCCCCCATAAACAGAAAAGCGCACTGTCCTTGAGGATGACAGGTAGAAGGGACTGGGGACCTGCTACATGGGAAGCAGGCATCACCACTGAAACCGTGGCTCCTTGCCTCCCCAGGGCTGATACTGATCATGGTTGCTCCTCTGTCCATCACAGTTTACACTTTAAAACAACAATGAAAGCAGTTGGCACCTTCTTCCTCTCTTCAGGAACCCCTCCCCCACCTTGGAGTTGTAACTTTCTGGAAATGAATTTACTCAAAGTTTCTGGTTAATAGTATTTCTTTCCCTCCCCCCAGACACAAGGTTGTTGCTATTTTAACATGATCTTTTACAGGCATTCTTGATGTGTTGACATAAAAGAAAGTTGGCTGTTAATTAGGTCACAGGTCCAGTTATAGACTTTGGCGAGGGGCCCCAGTCAGTGAGGGGGTGTGTGGGTGTGAGACTTGGGAGCAGATAGACAGATGCCACACAGAGACCTCTCTCTAGCCACACTGCTTAGTTCTGACCTGTACATTGGCAGCAGAAGCTCTGCATCATGGGCAGTCAGGCAGGGATATGAAAGTTTGGTACTTGCCTTAATGCCTATGCTGGATGGATGGAGCCTTGTGTTTCCCAACCATGATTTGTGCTGCAAGATAGGACTGCATGCTCAATTTTTATAGACCTTTGGGTTAACCCATAGGAACAGGAGCAGAAATATGCGTGTCATATACCTTCCAATTAATAAATTAAAATGTTAAGTTTATGAAAAATGCAGCTTTATCTTATTTGCATTGCAGATGCAGAAGGATCCCCATCAGAATCAACGCCTGCTGAGCTCAAATAAACCTGGATACGCTATCTGGGACAAGCTTTTTAGTTGCTATCTGTAGAGTGACGATGAACAGCTATATTTACAGGCTTCTGTTCTATTTTATTAACATAGAGTCTTATGGAACAACCTGCCTTGAGTATAGTTGAGATCACCATAGCAAACATGGAGTAAGTGTGTGTGCTTTGGTTTCGTGCATTTCTCTTGTTGGTTTTGCTGGCCTGGTGATTTCTGGTACCAGAGTCTTCCTGAAGCTGCCCTCTACCATCCTGTTTGCACCACAGTGTGGAGCATTGCTGTAAGACTCTGAAAGGGAAGAAACTCACAAGCCGCAGCTTTTTCCCGAATTTGGTCCCATAATCTTTATAGAAACAATTTCTGGTTATACAAAAATATGGTCAGAATTTGCTATAACAATATTTTATTATGCCTTGAAGTTTTAAGCATTCCATATAAAACATTGTAACATTACTTTATAGTTTTTTCTAATAGTTTGAATGCAAACTGAAGCCCAGAAATCCCGAACATTTATTATTTTATACCTTTTAAGTAAAAAATATATATTTAATCTCATTTAGGCTATTTTAATTGGCTTCACAAAAACATTTTAGTAACCATACTGAATGCTCTTGTTTTGTAAATGTTATTATTGTTTCTATATCAGTAATTAACATTAAAATATATTTTTTTATTTTCTTCATTAATAAAACAATAATCTTATCAGGAAAAGTTTCCAGGAAGCCAAATAGAGTCAGCACTTCAGTGTCATTCCTGGAATCAACTTATCATGCATTTGCTCAGTTAAAGTTTAAATTTTAAATTGGTTCTTTGACTCAAATACTTAATTGAGCACTTACATCTCTGTCACTTTATCAGAGGATGCTACTATAGTAAAATATATCTAATATGTAAAAATATGACTAACTATGTATATTCAATAAAAATAATATGCTACTGTAGTACAGTTCCCTCTGCTTTTTTTCTTTCCCCCTCTTCTTTCCTTCACTTATTTTGCTACCTTATTCTTAAAAATTCCTGATTACCTGGAAGATCATTAGGAATAGATATCAATAATGAGAAGTCTTCGATTTTTTTAAAAGGTTGCCGAGGTAATAGAAAACATGGCTTGTGCAAAGGTGAGACACAATTTGGGGTAAAAACTGAACACAGTTTTAGCCTCAATCACTTAGAGTAGCCAGGGCCAGTCCCGTAGTGACCTCTCAGGTTGGTAAAATAGAGCTTTCATGATTTGAATGTGAAATTCTCCCCCATACCAGCATCATACCTTTGGATACTTGGTGCTAGCCAAAGGTGCTGCTCTTAGGAGGGTGGGGGATCGTCAGTGGGTGGAGGAAGTGGGTCACTGAGGGTGAGCCTTACTATTTTCAAGTTCTGTTTCTGGTTCTCTCTAATTCCTGTTCTGCTAAGATGTCAGTGGATGCCACATGATTTCACCACTATGGAGCTGCTACCATGTCTTTCCTGTTACGATGGGTAGATATCCCTTACACTGTGAATCAAAAACAAAGGTCAAAACTCCTCCAGGCTGAGGCAGTAGCTCAGTTGGTAAAGTGCTTGCTATGCAAGCATGAGGGCCTGAATTGAACCCATAGGACACATGTAAAATGCTGGGTATGAAGCCAGGTGGTAAACATCTTTAATCCCAGCACTTGGGAGGCAAAGGCACAAAGATGTCTATGAGTCTGAGGCCGGCCAGGGATACAAATTGGTACCTGGTCTCAGTAAAGCAGAACTAAAACACCGGGTGATTGCTGGTAATTTTAGTGCTCAGGAGGCAGAGACAGGCAGATCCCTGGGGTTTGTGAGCCAGCCGGCCTAAACTAAGCGGGAGAACCTTAATCCCAGTTAGAGACCCTGGGAAGACAAGGTTTGCGTGGGTGGGACTGAAGAGATAGCTGAGTGGTTAAGAGCACTTGTTGGTCTTACAGAGGCTTTGAGTTCAGTTCCAAAAGCCATGCCTGGTGTCTCACAACAACCTGTAACTCTAGCTCCAGAAGATCCAACACCCTTATCCAGCGTCTATGAGTACACAAAGGCACAAACACAATTTTTAATAAATAAATTAAAAAAATAAAACAAAACAAGGTGGGAGGTTCCTGAAGAGCAATTCTCAAGGCTGACCTTTGGTCCCCACATGCATTCACACAAATATATACCTACATCCACAAATAATGCACATCCACACAAACCTTTACTCTCTTTATGTGGCTTCTGGCCAGATATTCATTTGTTTACAGCAATAAGACAAGAAAATAATTAAATAGCTCACAGATAATGAAAATTGAAAACTCGAAATTCCATCTAGTTGTCCTAAAGTAAATGACATTCCTCTAAAACCTAAAACTATGGGGGAGGTGGTGGAGCACACCTTTAATCCCAGCACTTGGGAGGCAGAGGCAGGCCGTCTCTGTGAGTTCAAGGCCAGCCTGGTCTAGAGAGCAAGTTCCAGGACAGGCTCCAAAACAATACAGAGAAACCCTGTTTCGAAAAACAAAACAAAACAAAACAAATCAGCAAACATTTTAAGACGACTCTAATGTTTATGCTTAATGCCCCCTCACATTGGTCACTTTTCTGTTCCATTGCTGTGACAAAACACCATGAACAAAAGTAGTTAGTGGAAGGAAGAGTTTATTTTGGCTTGTAGTAACAGAAGATAGGAGTCCATCATGGCAGGAGATGCAGAGGTAAATGTCAGCATGGTGGCAGGAGCAGGAAGCTGAGAGCTCACATCTCAAAAGGAAGCTAAGTGAACAGCAAATGGGGTGAGACTGTGAAAACTAAAAGCCTTCTGCCAGTAATGTGCGTCCTTCAGCAAGACCACTCTTTACCCATTACCTCTCCGAATAGCGCCATCAATTGGGGCCAAGTATTTAAATAAATGAGCGTATAGGAAATATTTCTTTCAAAATATTTCTTTCAAAATATTTCTTTCAAACTATATAAGGTGTACACATGGTTACCCATATTCTCTTCAGAATCTATAGCCATCTTAGCTCACCATAGTCTTAGATCAGCTTAATTCAAAAAGTTTGGGCATTTCGTGACTTTTCTGAGTCTCCTGTTTCTCATATACCAATATGGATCAAAAGGGCCTTATGATTGTTGGTAAACCGAGAACCACCCACATTCCAGAACTAGGTGCTTCCCCAGCCTGCCTTCGGAGACTCAGTTCCAGCAGCCACATCGTCACCAGCCACCAAATGCAATACATTTCCATTGCCACCATGAGTCCAGTACTTTTTCTTTTCCATTCTCACTCAGAGACAGCCTTTTGTGTACCCTACACCTCCCCCAAAAAAACTCTTTCGAAAGATCCATTGCATGGTATGATCTTTGTAGCATTCCTTGGACCTAGTCACCACAAACCTCTAACAATTATGGCTGGTTTTAATGACAACTTGCTACAAATTAGAATCACCTGAGTAGGGAGTCTCACTTGAAGAACTGTCCTGATTCATCCATCAATCAGGAAGACCCACCCTGACCGTGGGTGCCACCTTCTGGTAGGAGTCAAGATAAGAAAGGGTGTTTCACAACCCCACATCTGACAGAGGGCTGATCTTCAAAATATACAATGAACTCAAGAAGCTAGCCACCAAAACAACAAACAATGAAATTAAAAAGTGGGATGCAGAACTAAATAGAGAATTCTCGACAGAAGAATCTGAAATTGCTGAAAGACACTTAAAGTGCTCAAAATCCTTGGTCATCAGAGAAATGTAACTCAAAATAGTGACAATCTATGCTGGTGAGGATATGGAGAAAAAGGAACACTCCTCCATTGCTGGTGGGAGTGTCAACTTGTAAGACCACCTTGGAAATGAGTATGGTGGTTGCTCAGAAAAATGGGAATCAGTCTACCTCAAGATCCAGCCATTCCTCTCTTGGGCATATACCCAAATAATGCATGTTCATACAACAAGGACATATGTTCAACCATGTTCATAGCAGCATTGCTTGTAATAGCCAGAACCTGGAAGCAATCTAGATGCACCTTAACTGAAGAATGGATAGAGAAAATGTGGTACATTTATACAATGGAGTACTACTCAGCAGAAAAAAAGCAATCGAATCTTGAAATTCACAGGCAAATGGATGGAACTAGAAGAATCCATCCTGAGTGAGGTAACCCAGTCACAAAAAGACAAACATGGTATGTACTCACTCATATATGAATTTTAGACATAAAGTATTACCAGCCTACAATCCTCTTCACCAGGAATGGGAAGGGGCAGGAACTCCTGAGCTAATTGGGAGCATGAGGGTAGGGGAGAGGGAGTTGCCAGAATGAGAGGAGAAGAAGAGGAGAGGAGAGGAGAGGAGAAAATGGAGGAGCAGAAATATTGAGTTGGTGGAAGAATAGAGGGGAGCAGGATGAGAGATTCCATATCAGAGGGAGCCATTATAGGTCCGAGGAGAGATCTGGCACTAGGGAGGTATCCAGAGACCTACCATGATGACACGAACTGACAATCTAGGCAATGGTGGAGAGGATTACCTAAAAGCCCTTCCTCTAAAATGAGATTGATGACTGCTTTTATGCCATCCTAGAGCCCTCATCCAGTGGCTGATGGAAGCAGAGGCAGATATCCACAGATACACACTAAGCTGAACTCAGGAACTTAGTTGCAGAGAGGGAGGAATGAAGATTGAAGGGGTCGGTACCAGGCTTGTGAAACCCACAGAAACAGCTGGCCTGAACAAGGGGGAGCCCATGGACCCCAGA